ACGCGGAAGCCTGAGCCCGCCAGGCACTCGCGCCGAGAGCCTACAGCCGCGGGAGCCGGAATCCTACCGGCTCGGGTTGATTTGTAAACAATGGGTGACGTTGCCGCCGGGCCCTACCATAGCCGGGCGGGGGTGTGCACTATCATTTCGGGGCGGGGCGCCCGCTGGCCCGGGGTCCAGGGTGAAGTCTTTCTGCCTCTGAGCTCTATAGTCCTGGATGCTGTCTGAGGGGCGCACTGCGGAGCTGATGCTCGCCCTCTCTCAGCCGGGCGTGATTAGCATTTCTAGAAGGGGAACACCGGCCTGGACTCTTTTGGTTTCTTCCACACACAAGCACATACACTTACACCCACACACCCACACACTCCCCTAGCGTAGGAGCGTCAACTCTTCTGGTTTTGGCATTTGCACTTTTGAGGTCCGGGATGCCAGCCTTTGGGAAGTGATGGCCGGACCAGTGAGGAGAGTGATGGAGACAAGAAGGCGTCGGGCTAGGGATCTGTCTGGCGATTAGGAAAACGAGGTTGTCAGACATGAAAAAGAAGGGAGGGGACCCAGTGGTGCGATGAGGGTGGCGGATTGGAAATTGGCAAAGAAAGGCCACTGATTAATGCTTTTTGATCGGGAGCGTGCGTGTGTGGGAATCTGAACTAGGGCTGTCATTGCTAGAGAGGAGGATCCTCCTCACGGGAGGGGCAGCGAGCTAGAAAGTTCTTTTAAGAAGAAAGCTTCAGTCCCGTGGGGGAGTATCCTTTCTGAGGGGTAGCAGGAGAGGAAAATGGTCAGCTATTTGGATGGAAATGGAGATATGGCCACCGTAACCCTTCAAGATATCATGGTTGTCTTAATGATTAACTAAGACTTCATTTTTTTAAAGAAAGAGGGACAAAAAAATGATTCTTCACTGTCATGTTGCCTGGAGGTTTAAAGTCTTTCTTCAAAATCCCAAATCCCTCAGGCCTAACTTCCAAACATTACACATGTAGGTAGATTTTTGGTAGACCAGCCTTTACAGAGGAGGGATCCTATCAGGGTGGAAATATTCTAAAACTGGATTATGGTGATGGTTGTGCAACTCAGTACATTTACTAAAAATCATTAAAATAATGTATTTTTGACATGTAAATTATACATCAATAAAACTGTTTTAACAATTAGCCGCAAAGCATGCACACACAAACACAGAAACCAGGTAGTAGGGAGTTAGTTACTTTAAAATATAGAGCAGGAGAGTGATTTAGAAGAGACTGGAGAATGGGGATCCAGATAAATAGAAACAAGGGTCTGGGTGGGCAGTTGCAAGATGCTAATTACAGCAGTAAACCTTTAGGGAGGGGCAGGTTGAAGGGAAGAGGTAGAAAGTTGTTAAAAAAAAAAAGAGTTGGGCTTATTTTTGTCAAGTGTGGAGGGGAAAATGTGAGAATAAAGGAAGAGGCAGTTTGAAGAAAGCAAATGAATTTTTAAATCTCTGAAATCCGAGCTTCTAAGTATGTCATAAAATTCATCATGTCATTTTAGTGGATTCTTTAGGATTTCCTGTATATAAGATCATGTCATCTGCAAACAGATGAAGTTTTACTTCTCCCTTTCTAATCTGGGTGCCTTTTATTTTTCCTGTCTAATTGCCCTGGCTGAAACCTCTAAACCAATTCTAAGTAGAATAGGTGAGGGCAGACATCCTTGTCTTGTTCCTGATCTTAGCGGAAAACGTTCAGTCTCTCACCATTAAGTATGATGTAAAGCATTCAGTCTTTCACCATTAAGTATGATGTTGACTATGGGTTTCCACATACGGCCTTCATCATCAGGTTGGGGATGTTCCCTTCTTTTCCTGGTTTGTTGAGTGGTTTTTTAAATTTGTTTCTTTATTATGTAAGGGTCATTCTATTTATTAATTTATGTGAAATATATAACATTGTATAAATTTAAGGCATCCCTTTGTTTAAAATCACTGTTTATTTGAGAGTGTGGTCAACGCAGCCACTTATTAGCTGGAATATTCTGAACCTAATTAGTTAAATTTCTTAAATGAAATCAGTAGCAGTTTACAATTTGTATTTTTACATTTTGGTTCAAAATTTGTAAGCCTCATACATTGTTGTGCTCATGGAAATGGGAAAAGCTCTGGCAGTTTCTTAACAAAACTAAACATACACTTATCCTATAATATTTCCAATCCTAGATATTTAGTTAAGAGGAATAAAATCATAGGTCCACAAAGGCCCATAGGCAGATGATCATTGCAGTTTTCTTCATAAAACCCATAAACTGGAACCTGCTTAGGTGGTTTATCAGCAGGTCAATGGATAAACTGTGATACATTCACATAATGATGATGACAGAATACTCTTCAACAACAAAAAGGACTGGAGTATTGCTACATGCAGTAACATGGACAAATTGCAAAAACAGTATGCTAAGTGAAAGAAGCCAGATGAAAAAGAACATGCACCATATGGTTCTGCTTACATGAAGTTCCAGAACAGGCAAAATTAATTTATAAAAACTGATTGCCTTTGGAGAGGGCAGGGTGGGAACAAGGACTGACTCTGAAGAGGCCTGAGGGAACTTCAGGAGGTAGTGGTAATGTTCTATATTTTGATATCTTGATTTGGGTGTCACAGGTGTATCTGTATGTTGAAACTCATTGAATCATACACTTAAGAATTCATTGAATGTACATTTTATATGAAAAGAAAAACCTCTACACATATATAATCATAGTTAATAGACACACTGATGAATTTAGGGGTGAAGTGTACTGATGTTTGCAATTTTTTCTCAAGTGCACAAAAATGTGAGATGGATCAGTGTATGGACAGGAAGATGGTTAAGACAGGCAGGTATATGATAAAGTATGTACAGTAAAATGTTAATGTTACTGTATGATCCAGCAATTCCACTCCTAGGTATATACGTGAAGATTATAAAACATGTTCACACAAAAATCTGTACACAAGTGTTCACAGCAGCGTTATTCATGATAGTCCCAAAGTAGAACAGCCTAAATGTTCATTAGCTAATGAATGGATGAATAAAATGTTATCTATTCATACAATTGAATATAATTCACCATAAAAAGGAATGAAGAACTGTTATATGCTACAACAGGAGTGAACCTTGAAGGCATTATGCTAAGTGAAAGAAACCAGACACAAAAGGCCATTTATTGTATGATTCCATTTATATGAAATGTCCAGAATAGACAAATCTGTACAGACATAAAGTAGATTAGTGGTTGCCAGGGGATGGGAAGAGAGGGGAATTAGGACTAATTGATAATGGGCATGGGATGTCTTTTGATGTAATGAAAACGTTCTGGAATTAGTGGTGGTGTTTGCACAACACAATGAATACACTTAAAACCACTGAAGTGTACACTACAAAAGTGTACACTTTAACTGACTATACTTCAGTTTAAAATTTTTTAAAAATTAAAAAAAAGTGCACTTTAAAATTCCCTTTATTTTTAGAAACTTTATTCTTTTTTCGGAGGGGGAGATAATTAGGTCTATTTATTTATTTACTTTATATGCAGGTACTGGGGATTGAATCCATGACTTCATGCATGCTAGGCATGCGCTCTACCACTGAGCTATGCCCTCCCCCTCTAAAATTCACTTCAAAATGAATTATGTATTATGAGGTATAGCTCAAATTTTGATTTATTTTTTAAATTATTAAATATTCATTTTATTGAAACAGCTCAATTTTTTAAATGCTAAAAAATGTTAATGGTAAGATCTAGGTGCTGGGTAATAGGGTAGTTCACTGTTAAATTTCTTCAATTTTGTTGACTGTTGGAAAATTTTTAGAATAAAAAGTTAGAAAAAAGATAGAAAAAAATAAGCCACAAAAAAGGGGTGATTAATTTTGTGACTTCTTTTAGGGCTGTCCAGGGCATAGGGGGCTCAAGGCTGACTATTGGGAAGGAAGGGAGGAAGCGTACACGCTGCTGGCATGTTGCCTAATACCCAACAGCACGATTGTGTAGGGATGGAGACAGTGTGCTGCGGTTGACTAAATTCTTGCCCACTGTTGAGGATTTCAAACTGTATGGCAGGGATGGGGCTTGACACTGTTCTAGAGGCCGGCGGCATCCCTGAGTGATGGGCCTCGGAAGCAGCAAAGCAGACAGAGTCTCACCCCTTTTACCACTCCCTTCATTGCCTGCCAGCTCCCAGACCGGAGGCGCTAGGAGCTGGGCTGGTTGGGGCGGAGGGATTTGTATGGAGAGAATTTAAGAGATTAGGAGATTCACACTGAGATGCAAAGAGGTGCTAATGAGTTATTAAACACCTCTCAGTAGAGTAGCAGCTAAGGAAGCTGGAAATACCAGGAAGGCAGACATTGAAAATGCCTTGAGGCTACTGATAGGAATGGGGGTGGGGTGGGGTAAGGGCTGGAATAACTGGCCACTGGTTAAACAAGGTGTTAGGAACAGTCAGGTGTATAACTCGGTGGTTAAAATGGATTAAAGGATTGGGTTAACACTGATACAGCAGTG